GTCCTAGTCTTATCATTGAGTTTCTATTGACTGGCTTATGATATCAGCTTGCCGAGACAGTAGTAATAGTTTATTGACACATACGTAGAATATTGGGCTTCTATAACAAGAATAAACAATGAAAGATCACTTATTATAGTGCCATGTCTAAATGTACCGTCAAAATGACTGTCCTAACAAGTAATATATTTCGTTTACTTCAGTTCCTGATGTTAAACCAGGAAAATGTCCTGAGCTAGAAGGTGGTACAGGGATATGCTTGGAGGGATGTGGGAATGATTATGACTGTGAAGGAGGCACGAAGTGCTGCTCCAATGGTTGTGGGCATATATGCATGACTCCGGGTAAGTGTAGACTCATTAATATGAAAATATGAACGATTTTTGAAGTATAATTCCAGATTTATTTTTCAGATATTGCAGTAATTGTATTTTGTGTCACCCTTTTCTCTCATGATTATGTAAGTTTTAATACTGGCAATTACAGCACAAATAGACTAATGGTCACTCTATGCATTCATTTCATTTTGATCACTAAATGTTTATTTTGAAAATGTTTGTACTGCGCCAGAGAAATATTCCATTCCCAAGTTAAAATTCGTGTTCTAGTCTCATCAATGAGTTTCGAATGACAAGCTTATTGAATTGGCCAGCCGAGGCAGTAGTAACAGTTTATTGACACATATGTAGATAATTTAGCTGTTATTACAAGAATACAAAATGAAAAATCAGTTGTGTTGTGCAATGTATAAAAGTACCGTCCAAATGACTGTCTAAACAAGTAATATATTTCGTTTGCTTCAGTTCCTGATGTTAAACCAGGAGATTGTCCTGAGTTAGAAGGTGGTACAGGAATATGCTTAGAGGGATGTGGGAATGATTATGACTGTGAAGGAGACACTAAATGCTGCTCCAATGGTTGTGGGCATATATGCATGACTCCCGGGTAAGTGTAGACTCAATAATATGAAAACATAAACGATTTTTAAAGTATAATTTTACATTTATTTTACAGATGTTGCAGAAATTGTACTTCGTGTCGCCCTTTTCTCTCATGATTCTGTAAGTTTTAATACTGCCAATTACAGCACAAATAGATTAATGGTCACTCTATGCATTCATTTTTTTTTTGATCACTAAATGTTTATTTTTAAAATGTTTTTACTGCGCCAGAGAAATATTCTACCCCCTAGTTAAAATTCGTGTTCTAGTCTTATCAATGAGTTTCGAATGACAAGCTTATTGAATTGGCTAGCTGAGGCAGTAGTAATAGTGTATTGACACACAGGTAGATAATTTAGATGATATTACATGAATAAATAATGAAAAATCAGCTGTTTAGGGGCAATGTCTTAAAGTACCATTCAAATTACTGTCAAACAAGAAAATACATTTCTTTTCCTTCAGTTCCTTATGTTAAACCAGGACATTGTCCCGCGCTTGAAAGTGGCACAGGAATATGCTTAGAGGGATGTGGGAATGATTATGACTGTGAAGGAGACACTAAATGCTGCTCCAATGGTTGTGGGCATATATGCATGACTCCGGGTAAGTGTAGACCCAATAATATGAAAATATAAACAATTTTCAAAGTATAATTCTGCATTTATTTTTCAGACATTTCAGTAATTGTACTTCGTGTTTCCCCTTTCTATCATGATTTTGTAAGTTTTAATACTGCCAATTACAACACAAATAAATTAATGGTCACTCTATGCATTCATTTCATTTTGATCACTAAATGTTTATTTTATAAATGTTTGTACTGCAGCAGAGAAATATTCCACCCCCTAGTTAAAATTCGTGTCCTAGTCGTATCAATGAGTTTCGAATGACAAGCTTATTGAATTGGCCAGCCGAGGCAGTAGTAATAGTTTATTGACACATATGTAGATAATTTAGCTGTTATTGCAAAAATACAAAATGAAAAATCAGTT